TCAGTACAGTACCAAGGTAGGATAATTTTATGCATTTGTCAAAACCCATGGAACTTACATTATGTCACAGAATAAATATAATTAAGCAGATTTTAAAAGTCAACAAGATATTGGAAATCCTGGGGTGGAATTGAGACTAACAAATGAATCTAGATTTATTACAAATTTATGACATAATACCTTAATGAAGTTGAGGGCAAATAAGCTAACTTGAGTAACTTTGGAAAACAGTGGTTTGACTACAAACTGTAAGGCTAAATATTAAATTACACTGTACATGAACACTGTATACCAATTAATAAATTTGTTTCTCCTTGGAATATAGTCTATAAATTCTGAAACTGCTTTACATACATGCTATGTTGAATATATGAATACACAGAGGTTGGATGGTAGGTTTCACATTTCTCATGTTAGACTTACAAAGTTATAAGGGAAGTTGAAATGACCTTGTAAGAAACGATGTATGTGGGCTGGGGATGTGGCTCAAGCGGTAACGTGCTCACCTGGCATGCACGGGGTGCTGGGTTCAATCCTCAGCACCACATAAAATAAAACATAAAGATGTTGTGTCCACCGAAAACTGAAAAATAAATATTAAAAAATTCTCTCCTCTCTCTTTAAAAAAAAAAAGAAATGATATATGCTTATTTTAATATGTATGTAGATAGATACAGAAATAACTTGATTCAATATGTAAACATGTGTCACCTATCTCTGTTCACTTTGTCTAAGAGGCCTAGAAGAGTGACATTTGAGTAGCAACAAGCACAGCCGACACCCAACTCTTCATTTCTAAAACCATACTAGAATAAAACGAACCAGTGAAGTCCTTCAAGAATGGTCAATTCTATGTCAAAAGGATGGCTTTGTGTTTAAAAAAAAAAAAAAAAAAAAATTAAGATGACCTGAAAAGGCTTGCATGACCAAAGTTTAATTTCACAGCAAAATAAATAACTCACTAATAACAAAAAGTATAAAATATATATACATAAATACAGAAAAAAAAATGGAGAAAAGAATTCTTTACAGAAATTCTACTTAATATATGCAGATATACTCCCACCAGGAGATGGAGTTTAATTACCACTCAACCCCTTGAGAGTGAGCTAGACACAGTAACTTGCTTCCAGGGAATACAGTATAAAAATTTTTCTACAGAAAAATTTAACTTGGTAACCTCAATTTGTGAATTTTAGAAAAGAGATTTGGTTTTCTTTTCTTTTTAATTAACATAATAATTTCTGTGTAACAAAATAACATTTACAGGGTACTATGTCATAACTCAATAAATGTATACAATGTATAATGATCAGATCAGGATATTTGGCATGAAAAGTATTTTTATTCAGAACATTTCCATTAATCATATTTCCTACTCACTACCTATCACCACTGCCTCCCCAAAACATTTTAGAAGCTGAGATCCAAAGAGGATAATTGAAGCATGAAACAATAATTAAAGTATTTCACTTCTATTGCATAATAGAATGAAAAGGACATAACTTTCCTATGTTAATATATGAATACACAATCAATGAAACTCCACATCATGAACAACCGACAAGTATACTAAGTAGAATAAGTTATATCCTATGTATGTATAATGTCAAAATACACTCTACTGTCATATATTTCCTATGCCAGTGTAACATACGGTTCCCCTACATAAATGTAAAATTTATATATTTATATTTATTATTATTAAAAATATTTTAATGTATTAATATTGTTAATTGTTAACAATATTGTTAATTAATATTGTTAACTGTTAACACTGTTAACAATGTAAAAAGATATAGTGAAATAAAGGTCAATAAAATTCCATTTCAACCTTCACATGAATTCTAAATGACTATGACTATTAAGGCACATCAACATTTCCCCCCACTCCATAAGAATTATTCAGAAATATTACATTTATATTTAGGGATTAAAGTGATTCAAATAAATTCTTAAATGTACTTGGAAATTTTGTTGAAAATTTAATATACATGCAAGTACCTATTAACCAATCCAAGCAAATTATAATCCTATATTTCAGGTATTTACCCAGAAATCTATTAATAGGGTAAATCATTCAAGATAACTTCACAATTAAAAAAAAATAAGTCTAACTGGGATTTGAGAAACTTTGTTACAAATGACAACAAAAGTTCAACCCAGCTGGAAACCTGCTTTGAAATCTTCCAACATTATCTTTAGAAAGTTTAACTTCAGTTATAAAAAAAAAAAAAAATTGGTGTTGAGCTGAAACTGTTGTACAGGTGCATCCTGGCACACATTTCATAATAAGTAAGTTTCAAAACAGTTATAATATAGCCAAAATGACCTATTTTCCTGAGCATTTTTTTTTTTTTCCTTTTTGGTCAACAGTTACAGAAAGTTCTCCTTATAGAAGGAAAACCCTCTTTTTTCCTTTTTGGTAGGAAGTTAATTATAACAACCAAAATGCCCAATAACATCTTTTAATTCTATTTCACTTCAGAAACTTTCACAAAGGAAAATTCTGCAGTAAAAACACATTTTAAAATTCTGGCCAATAAAAATCAAATTCTTCTTAAACAACTTGCTATGTAGTTACAACTTTTGATTTTTCCAAGAAAATTCCTGTAACTGTAAGTTTACCTCTCAGTCTTTTAACTACGCAGGAGCTCTTTTCTTTGTAATGTCTAATGAGTAAAGCATTGAAGGGAAAAAGTGAGAAGGGACTGTTATAACAATGACAGCTGAGCAAGGAAAGAGCAAAATATCTATAAGAAAGAAAATGAAGGCAAAACAGAACCAAGTCTCTCTCTTTCTGATAAATGCCAAAGCAGTTGCAAAAACTAGATAACTTGATAACACTTCTCAGAAGCACACAAAACCTGTACGGTAGAATTAGTGACTAAGAACAATTAGAGAAATGTTTTGCATTCATTTAAAATAAGTATGCACTGTGAAAGAATCTTTTAAGTAAATATGATTTCACAGGACTTTTTTTTATTTTCACCTGTACAATTAAATTAGCTTTAAAATTCCTCTTTGCTTTAGGTATGGCAGCAAAATATAGAAAATATATAAAAGATTACTGGAATAGATAAATGGTCAAAATATACCAGCAGGTAATCTCCCTGCATATCCAAGTAGAATATTTTCCTATTTTGTATGGTGTTTGACTCCTGGGTTTCCTCTGTATATTTCTATCTATTGGCCAATTCATTATTCACTAATGAGTAAGAGAATGTATACAACATGACTCTTTTCTATTCTCGCACAGCAATCAATATAGCTACAGAGATCTGGATCAAAGCTGAGATCCAAAAGACTTTTAATTTAACTTTGCCTCTGGTGATTGCAGTCAAACTCTGTTGTCTGCAACTTCACCATACTTTGTAATTAAATTGTAGGATAAAACTTTGAAATCAGTTCAACTTCTCATTTTATAACTGGGAAAATCATGAGAACTTACTAGTGCAAAGATGGTGTCAGCTCAAGTTTTTAACTCCTAGACTAATACTTGCTCAACTAAATGATGTTTTCCATAACCTATTTCTTACTCTACTCTCTACAATATTCTTGGTATCCAAACATTCTATCAGGGAAAGGTGATAAAATATACTAAGCATGGACAAGGAATTTCAAGTTTCAGATCAAATACATATAAGCACAACATAATTTTCTATCCAGCTTTTTTTCTTAAACCCTACCAACTTGTCTGTTGTTATCYACCCCATTTCTCCATCACTATAATTACCGTCTCAGTTATGTAGCACCGTTACATAAAACATATTAATTATAATAAGCAAATGTTACAAATGTACACATTTTATTAGAAACCATTTTAAGTCCTTTACCTATAGAAGCATCTCAATTCTCAATCTAAAGATAAATGGTCTACACTTCATTGTATTTATTTACTTACTTGTTTTTGGTACTGAGGATTGAACCTAGTGGCACTTAACCACTGAGCCACATCCGTATCCCTTATTTATTTTGAGACAAGGTCCCCACTAAGTTGATGTAGCTGGCCTCAAACTTGTGATCCTGTCTCACCCTCCTGAGTTGCTGGCATTGCAGGCATGTGTCGTCATGCCCAGGTCCCCATTTTATTAGAAGAGCAAAAATCAGAGCATCAGAAATTAATTTACACTAGTTCACATAGTTAATAAGTGGTAGAACTGGTATAAGTAACCAATATGACTTCAAAATTCATTTTGCTGATTTTCACCTATGATAAGTGCACATAACTATGTGAATTTTATTTCAATGTGCAAGTAACTCAAAATTGGGGGTGCTAAAAAAGAATTTAAAAAGAGTATTCCGATGTGAAGAGTTGTTTTTTAAAAAACACATAAATTAGACAAATCTAATTTAAAAAGATATGGCACAAGTAAAAACTCTTTAACTCATTCACAGATAATTAAAAGTTCACCATGAAAATTTAAAAAAAAAGGGGGGGGATACAGTAAAATAAATGTCCAGATCAATGTTATCTATAAAGCTTTCTTCAGTGATAAAAAYGTTTTCTATCTGTGCTGTCCAAGATAGTAGACACTACTCATGTGACATTAAGCACTTGAAATGTGTCTGGTTTGTCTAAATAATAAAATTTTGAATATTCTATGATTTAAATTTAAACAGCTACATGTGGCTAGTGGCTACAGCACTGGACAGCAAAGGTGCAAAAAGTCAAATGCCAGGCAAAATGAGTGCACCAATTCTTACTATATTTAAGATTTTTACCAACAGTCAAATCAATTTAAATACTTTTTTTTAATATGTTCCAGCTTCCATTATTACCTCAAGCATAAACCTAATAGATTTAAGTACTTCAAAATGCAAAAAGTTCCAAAGAACTTAAATATTTTAAAAAATATTTAGAATAGGTAATGTCAACAAAGCTTCAAATACTAGAAACCTTTTCAATATTTGGATGGTTAAGACTACAAATTTATAAAAAAACAGCAAATGGATATTCAGTCCTCCTCACAGTAAAAGTTGATAAAGTTATTGCTTACCTTGATTCTCCACTGCTGTTTCTAACACTTTCTTCATCACTATGTCCATTCATTGTAAATATCAAGGAGTTTTAAAATAAAATATAAATCTTCCCAGCTTAAAAGATGAATATAAATACTGACTCCTCTTTGAATATCAAAAATTCAGATGAATTTTCTTGAACATTCACAATTTCCTGGGACCCTCTCTTTGATTCACCTAAGGAAAACATGAAAAAATAAGAACACTTTCTGTAGAAAAAGATACATAAGCCCTGCTTAGAACTTGTAGAAATCTACCTAGGCCAATTAGACTAAAGATGGTAAGGAAGGGGTGGAGGTCTTTTACTTAATATATCTATTATGTACTTTCTTATCACTTACTAGAATTTAACAGGCTATATTGCTAAAATGTTTTCCACAGAAGAAATCAAAACATTTGTGGAGTAATAAAACTTTTAGAGACTGCCACTGTGTATCAATATTTATATAATTTACTAAAGCAAAGTGGTACCATGCAACATATAACTACATCCCTAGGAAATGGAGTCTTATTTGATAACTTGATTAAATAAGTGAAGGGGGAAAAAGGGTTACTCTTAATGAAGGCCTAATTTCTATCTCCAAGAACTTCATATACTGTGAAGGAAAGTTTTGGAAATGTTCACATGAGAAAATAATAAAAAGTTACATAATTTTAGCAAAAATGCACAGGACAAAATAAACATGCTCTTTTTCAGGTAAACTGATAGTGGAGTGAAAAAAAAATATTTACTAGTTTGGACTTGCAGAGATTCCATGAAAAAAAAAAATAAAAAAGTAATAGAATATATACTCTATGTGCTTTTTTTTTAAAGTAAAATTTGGTGCAACATAATAAAACAACAAGACACAGTATTTGCACTCTCAAGATTTCAGCACAACAGTAGAGTCACCTACAAGCCATCCACGAATAAACAAAGGAGATCTCTGGCAGGGGAGGGAGAGGAAGAAGCGGGGGAAGGAGACGTCAGATCCTTCCCCAGTCAGAAAGTACTGAGACAGTCTACAGAAGCAGAGCTGTCTTCAGACCTCAGCAATGAAAATTTTCTCCTATGATTATCTGCATTACACACAAACACAAAGAGGTGAGGAAAACAGGCTGTTGCCAGCTCAATCATAGCAGATTCTGCATGTGGATTGGGATCTTAATTCTCCAGACTTCAGGGTAGTCTACCCTCTTCTGCAAGAGCAGTATCTAAAAAGTAACTGTTCCACTCAACATTTATTCTTCAAGTTAAACATAAATTCCAACTTTAGTCAAAAAGCTTTACTATTATAACAAGTCTTTAAAATCTAAGTACTCTGCCTCTTTCCCTAAAGTCTTCGTTAAGAAAGTTCTCTCCTTTTCGTTCTTTCCCTTTCACCTTCCTTTCGTCCCTCAAAATGGCTTTCTCTGTGCACTGTAACTTCCTTTCCCCTCTCACTCCCTTCTCCGAGTAAGTCGTCTTTCCGAAACCCTTTTCAGAACCGCAAGTTCTAAAGCTTAAAGCGCACGCATCTCTCCGCTGTCTCTTGTGCGTCTCAACAATGACTCTTCTTCTCTAAGTCGTTAAACCTCTACAATCCTCTACTTCTATCCTCTGTGTTTTAACAGTTGTTTTACTCCTACTAAGTTTCTGAAGCAGGACTCCAAGAGATTGGGAAACCATCCTCCTTGCCCGTCCAACTCAGTCTGGCTCCCCATCAGCCTCCCTTCCGGACGTCTCCCCTTTCTCCCGGGCCTCCATCCCGGTCCCAGAGTCTCTTCCCGCCTCAAACTTCCCGCAGAACCGCCCCGCGCCCTCCCAGGCTCGCCCGAGCCGCCGCCCCCTCCCCCTCCCCGCGGATCCCCACGTGCTGGGTGCCGGGGTTGCAGCAGGAGAGACGCACCGCCAAGCGCTCGCCACTCGCGGATCTCCCTTAACTACCCAACCGGCCCCCTGCCCAAGAAACCCGGGCCGGGCCGGGCTGGCCGGCGCAAGGATGCGCTCTGCGGTGGCCGGCCTGCACTCGCCGCTCACACGCCCCCTGCGCGCCTGGCCCGCCCGCCAACGCCGCCACCGGCCCTCGCACAGCCGCCCTGGCCTTCTCCTGGCCACCGGGCCGACGCCTGGGCACCGCGCCGTCGCCGCCCTCCGCCCAGCGGGCTCCAGTCCTCCCAGCCACATCCTGACCCACCCGCCACCCCCTTTCTTACCGGCGGACGTGCGGGCTTGGCGGGGCGGAGGAAGCCGGCTCGCAGGCAGCCGGCTCCGATCGGCGGCCTCCCCCGCGCCCGGGCCCGCGATCTTGCCGCCGAGTCCTCGGGCTCCGGGCGTCTCGGGGTAAGCAAGAGTCCGGGAGGGATGGGGGAAGGGGAAAGACGCGGAGGGGAAGGGGAAACCCCGGCCCGCGGCACCAACGCGCGATTCCCTGCCGAGTGGATCCAACAATCAATTCATTATTGAAGCACCAAAGGCGAGGGCAGCAAGAGCGAGAAGTAACGAGTCGTCGTCTCAGCCGCCGTCGCGCGCGCGCTCCCGCTCCCGCCGCTTATCGGCCCCCGGCAGCCGCCATGACGCCGAGAGAGCGAGGGAGCGCAACCGTCTTCGTCGTAGCCACCGCCGCCACCGAGGTCGCCGTCGCCCCCGCCTCCCGCGCGACGTCAGCGCCTCTGCTCACTCCCCTTCCCCACAGGGCGCGAGACGGGCGGCCGCGCGCACGTTGAACCCTTTCTGCAGGCGCTTAGGCAGTAGGCGGGGCTACGTCGGGAAGTTGTGGGCGTTGAGAAAAAAGCGATTGGTGCTGGGGCGGGGCGGAGAGCGTGGTGCGCGCGCACTTGCGGGAACGCGCACGCTGGATGCGCGGAAGCCGCCGGACTCTGACCAAGGCTGTGGCCGGCAGGTCCTCGATCGGTGCCCGCCCTYCGTGGCCGGGCGGTGAGTTCCGGGAAGTGGGAGCTACAGGCTCGCTCTGTGCGGGTGTGAGCGCTACCGTCACTCCTACGGTCGCGCAAGGACGTCGCGGCGGAGACACTGAGGAGGAACCAGGGAGAAACCGGGGTGGGACTCGGGGAGCCGCGAAAGCACCGCACTGGAAAAACCGGAGGGCCGCGTCGCGTGTAGTGTAGAGTCGCCCAGGCCTCGCCCCGCGCTCCCGCGGGCTCCTGGCCGGGTCTGAGCTTTGGTCCGCAGAGGCCGTGCGGGAGCTGCTGCGTCACACCAGGCAGCCTGGGAACCCAACTGTTGGGCAACTGTGGTCGCCTCCCGCAGCCTCCTACGCTTGGGCGACCTGCCGCTGAATATCCCTCGGGGGTTGATACCTTGCACGGGCGGGGCACCGGAGGAGGAGAGAAAATAGAGTTCTGGTTGTTGACATCCTGTGACGTTGCTTGATTCATTTGCGGGTGACCCATTCCTGGTTCAGAAAAGAACTTTTACAACCTTTCCCTTTTAGGTCCCTCCATAGGGGGCGGGTTGGAGGGTGTGGTGCCGAATCGCAACAAAAAAAGCTACTCGAGGGACATTGGTAACTGTCTCAGTTTAACATGCTGCAATTTAGTTGACAGTTTCGTTCATAACTGTATCTGCAAGCCTCAGTTACAACCTTGTCAGTGTGTTGGAAACACTATCTTTTCAAGCATGGTGATACCCCATTTCGCTGTTTTTGAAAGCATTTTTGTATGATCAAAATAAGTTTACACTTATCCGTTTTTAGGTGTGCAAATTTGTCTTGAATTCCTTAAGGTTAACGATCATTTTTGAAACTTTTTTTTTTAAAGAGAGAGTGAGAGAGGAGAGAGAGAGAGAGATTTTTTTTTTTAATATTTATTTTTTAGTTCTCGGCGGACACAACATCTTTGTTGGTATGTGGTGCTGAGGATGGAACCCGGGGCGCACGCATGCCAGGCGAGCGTGCTACCGCTTGAGCCACATCCCCAGCCCCATTTTTGAAACTTTCTAATCCCATTCTTAAGTCATTTGATTTAATTTAAAGGCCTGCCTTCCAAGTCAAATGAATATGATTTCTATAACACAAATTATCCGAATAATAATTCTTTCATTTGGGAGATACTTGCTTAAATGGTTTGATCTATCTCCAACCAGCTTAAAATGAAATTCAAGGTTCTATTCACTTTGGGAAGTGGGGAGAGGTATACGTGACCTATTCAAAAAACATGCCTGTCTTCAGTCATTAAATAGTGAAACAAAATAGACCATTACCATCTTTTGTGTGCTCTACCTCCTTTTTTTCCTTTTTGCTAGATATAAATAGCTTTGGGCTGGGAGTGTGGCTTGGTGGTAGAGTGCTTGCTTAGCATGTGCAAGGCCCAGGATTCAATCCCCAGAACCACACACAAACACAAACACACATAGCTTTAATGCTGGGTTCAGAGGAATAGTGAGATCATACAAATCTGCATTTCTGAAGCCCCTTTAGTATTGTGAACTAAGTACTAATTTTTAACATTAAGCTTTGTATTAATAATTAGCCTTAAGGATACAAATTTTGCCCTTTTTTTCTTCCTGATTACTAGAATGACAACAAAAATCAAAGCTCCAGACAAACTAACCTTGACAAAGATTAATCAGAAGTATGGTTCAGATAACAAAGTCCTCATGTATAACTAAAGCACATTTTGTCATTGTATTACAAAAAGAATCAGTGTATAGTCTATTTTACATGTTTTTTGAAAGCATGTCAAACCTTTTTTAACTGCTTACTGTGCCTCTGGTGAGCTAGTTTACCTATAAGCGCTCTAGCAACCTCTTGCAGAAACAATCTTGCCAAATTTATAATAAAATATTAAACATTGGAGATTTGTATTTCAAGTAAAACCATACTTTATTGCTCTGCAGAATTTTAGAATGTGGAGAAACACAAAGTAAGCAGAAAACTGCAATAATCTTGGCCATACTATTTTTTTTAAAGGCAGTAGATATTGCAAACATTTTGGATGATATGTTATCTGGAATTAAATTCTCAGTTTCAATTTGAATAAACTATCAGTATTAAAAAATAATGATCAAACATTGATAATTTCAACATGTTATTAAATAGTAAAAATCCCAGAAAATTATCAACACTTGGAGCATTTTGTTGTTGTTGCTGATTTTGGTTTTTTACTATTTAATTTCTCCTTTGGAAATTTTTATGTTCCTTGGGAGAATTACAGAATCTAAGATAGCATTTTGTGGATCCTTAATTCTCATAAACTGTTAATAGGGCTAATTACCAATGGGTGTCCTTAAATGGTGTTAGAGTAAGAACCACTTCTCAAAAATTGTGAAATAYGTAACATAATGGTAACCCTTGTTCTTCTGATGATTTTTTGGATGCCAAGATAGGATTTAAATCCCATAATTATATTCATGCCATTTATGGAAGGTGTGTGTCTGAGTAGCCATTAAAACATCTGATATTAAAATGGTCCCTAAATAAAGATGGTTCAGTTGTCTATATTTTAGCTTATGATGGTGCAAAAGTGGTACACTTGCAGTAGAACTACTTCAAGTTTTGAATTTTAATCTGGATTAAGGATATGCAGTAAATACTTTTTTTTTTTTTTTTTAATACTGGGGATTTAACCCTGGGGTGCTTAACCACTGAGCTACATTTGCAGTCCTTTTAGTTTTTATTTTGAGACAGCGTCTCACCAAGTTGCTGAGGCTGGCATCTCTTAGTAGCTGGGATTACAGGTATGCATCACTGTGTCCAGTGTAAACAACATATACTTCTTAGCAGTAGCATTCTGTGTCACTAAGCTATGGTGTTCAATAGGTTAGATGTAGTAAATGCACATGTGTTTTGATTTAGGATATTTTTAATTTATGATAGTTTTATTGGCATGTAACCCCATTTTAAGTTGAGGGGTGTCTATTTAAGTTGAGGAGCCTAAAATCTTAACCTGTCACAAAGTCCTCTGAATTGAACTCATGAAATTTTATGCCATCAATAGTGAAAATTTACTGTACAATTTCTATGTTGTGAATTATAAGAAAATAATTATGGGTTCCAGTATTGGGCAGGGGGAGGAGTCAGTCATCTAGCAAGTTGCTTGTTTTGTTCTGTTGCTTTTTTGTTGTTGTTGTTTGTTTCGTTTTGTTTTGTGTGTGTATGTTTTTTTTCCCCTGTTGAGTGCTCAACAATCCCATTCCTCCTCTTCTGATATGTAGAATTTCTAGGTCGTAGGGTAGCTTTTGGGAAAAAAAAAAAAACTCAGATTGTTTTGGTATCCAACAGCTGCTCATCCATCCTATGTATAGCCACTTTATTTGAGGATTTTATTTTACTTTTTAATTTTTAAAGAGATGGGATCTTGCTTTATTAGAGATTAGCCTTAAACTCCTGGACTCAAGTTATCATCTTGTCCTTATCTTCCTGAGTAGTTGGGTCCACAGGTTCATGTGCCTCGTTCTCACTCTTGGCTGATAAATTTTCAAATCACAATAAAATTTCAAGTGGAAGGTTCTTCAAGATGATACCAAGAGCAAGTTTGTATAAAATCTGATAGACTGGGTGAGTACAAAAATTTTTACTTCTACTTGCAAAATTGTGTACACAGAAAATAAGAAAAAGAATGTTTAATTGACTGTTCTCTAAATATCAAACTGTACTTTTAGCTGTTATCACTCCCGTTCACCTTTTTTTATACTGCAGTCTAAATACTGTCCATTTTATCTCATAAATGTTGTGTTTATCCTTTGCTCTTAATCCTTGCCCCACTGTGTTTTAGTTTAGGCCCTCATTTTCTTTACATCTTTCCTTTCAACTCCCCCTTAGGTTCTCTTCAAATTTGAAAGTCTTATAAAATCACTCTCCTGCTTATATATAAATAAACATACATATATCTGAACAGATGCATCTGAATATCATATGTACATAAAATTTTAATATTTAGCCTTTCACAGTCTGACCTCATCATTGCCTCATCATTTCTGGGTGACACTTGACACTCTAAACACACATGTCTCTGGGTCATTAAAAAGATATCTCTCATCATAAGTGGATATAATAACCCATCTATCTTTTGGATTAGTCTTTTGTACATTTAAGGAAATGTACAAGAAATATAGAGTACCCTAACAAAATTGTACTGACACTCAATAAGACTTGTCAGGCAGCTCTCTGACCTCCTTTTTAGGATATGGAGTTGAGCATTCTGTCAGTGTGGCATATCATTATATGTAATACAGCATTTGTTTCCATACTACAGTGAGAGCCTTGAGCAGAGAGACTTTGTGTCCCCAGTGCATTATATTGACATTCATTCATAAATATTAAGAATTTATTACACATCAGA